AAAGGCTCCAATTTCGCCTAGGAATTGGCAGGCTTGAACATATATTTTATCGAATAAATAACTTGACCTTTACAAAAACAAATTACCATTGCCTCTTTCGCCTGACCTTATACACCTCAGAACTGTACTAATTTGTACGCCTCTAGGAACTTTGGTATACCACATTGGCCCTGTCTATCTAAAGTGCCTCCTTGCTACTAGTTCTCTGTCTTTATCTTTCTCCTGAGGTAGAAACGATATATGACAATATATATATATTATTAATGGAAAAATGCTTTAATAAGATTTAATAATATAATATTTATATTATATAATTAATCAAAGCATTAATAATTTTCTAGCAAATAGTTTCATAATATAATAAAAAGTTTAAATAGTTTATTTAATATTATGATAGTTTATGAGTTATAGTAATATAGTTCTTTTCTTTTTGATATTAAATAAAACATTTTTTATAATCTTTATTAATAGAATAATCAAAATAAAGTTATATAATTAATATTAAATACTAAGATATATTATTATATGTATATGTTAGTCTAGTATTATTTTAAATATATTTTTGAAAAAAAATCTTGAATCAAATAATATAGTTCTATAGTTATATTGGTTATAAATAATAATAGTATTATAAATAGAAGTGAGAAAGTACAAAAAAAAAAGACAATTTTAACTATAATAAAAAACTTAACTTACTTAATATTTATTTTTTATTGGAAAAAGGAGCATAAAAAATTGTGATATTGAAATATTTATTAAAATTACTATAGGTAATGAATTATAAACATATTTAAAAAATAAGTTACTAATTAACTTATCTTTCTAAAAGTCAAGTTACTATAAAAAAATCATTTTTGAAATTTATTAAAAAAAACTATAAATTAAATTATCTAAAAAGAATGACTTAAAAAAAAAGATAAAATTAATAGTTTTAAGGTTAACCAAGTTAAATTTATGTTTCAAATAAAGAAAAAAAGAATAATCTATTCTAATATTATATGAGTTTGACTTGTTATTGGCAATAAACTTGTTGATTTATATTAACAGTATGAAAAAAAAAACAGTAATAATAAAAATAACTTTATATTCAATATTCAGTTTATTATTTAATATTTTTACTTAATTTGTATTATATACTAATATATTTTTCAATATTATATAATTAGCAATTACAATTTAATAATAGACTTGCTATTACATATTTAATAATATATACAGTATAAGATAGAATTCAAAGTATAAGTAAAAGCTATTTATAATTTTAGGTCTAATTATTATTCTTTAATACAAGTTTTACCTTATATTATATTATTATTATACATTATTATTTTGTTTAATTGTTTAATTTATTTTAAATTAGAAAATAATAATAATAATGATTTTTAATTATAAAAAAATAAATGTATAAATGATAATATAAATAAATAAACAATATTTTAAAATTTATACAAGCGATGTCATATGGTATATAGCTCTTAAATTACGAATAATAAATTTATATCCTGAAAATTTCTGATTCACTTTCAAAATAATGACTCATATAAATCGGATATTACATTTGTTTTAAATAATTTTTACATTTGTAAAAATAAATGGTTTAAATAAATATTTTATTTGAATTTTAATCAATTTTGAAAATATTTTAAAAAAATTTAGATCAAATTATTGTCATAAATTTTATTTTTAGAGAGGTTTTTATGGTTTTTATATATGTTGCTCAATAGCTTTATTATATTATAGCGTTTAAAAAAATATTTAAAATCCAATTTTATTATAAAGTTAGATTGATAAATTTATTTATTGAAGTAAATTTAATAAATGTTTTTTGTTTTTTGTAATAATATAAAGTTAGATAAATTATATTCTTTATATTTTAAACTATAGACATTTGTGTTTATCTTATTTTATTAATCAGCTATTGGATTATATGACCTTCTATCTTGACAGAAATTTTTAATAATATACGATAACGCAGATTAATTTAATTAATAAAATACATGTATTAAAAAATTAGTCAATTGTAAATATTAGTAAATTAATAGTTATAAACTACGTATTAATATTTAACGTCAATTCTTCTAAAATATAAACTAAAAGACGATCAAAAAAAGACGACAAAAAGTCGTGTAGAATCAAAGATCGAGATTTATAAATGAGTTGTCTTGGATTCTCACAGGCGGAAGTACGGAACCCTAATTTTGGATGTTAATTCCATGGTTTACCGCCGAAGGTGGATACTGCAAGAGGATATACAGTATACAGTATATCGATCCACAAATGTGAACTTGCAAATGAATGAGCTCTAAATTTTAACCACAAGGTGACCACTGTACACGATTATCAGACTTCAATCAATAAAAAATACTACAGTACGTATGTATGGAGAGAGGTCAAAGTTCAAGAACAAAACTACTAGGCAACGAATTAGACTTAGAATAAATTCTTCATGGACAAAATAACATTGTGAAAGAAGTGAAGAAAGAATAAGTGTGCGGCGTTTTGATAGATTATTTTGAATAGTAAAATAAATAGATCATTTGATACTGTAGTTTCCATCTGTTGTGTGACTCAGCTGCACTGCATAAGTAATAGCTTGTTCGTTTAGCGATCGAAATGGCGTGACGAATGGAGTCTTCATTGTTGCCTTCTTGTAACTTGAAAAACTTCATATTCATCCACCGAAAAATAACCTTCGGATCGCCTAATTTCTCCTTCATAATACAAGGGAAAGCAGTAACACTTGGGTTCATTTCTAAAGTCTCCTTCCATACTTAGATCACATCGAAAATATGGACCATAATGTATTCCTGATTTAATTGACTCATGATGCTTTGCCCTACAGATTACCGAGTTCTTTGGATTGAAAAGATCTAACTTGAAAATGAAACTTTTTTTTGTGTAGTAATATCGCGACTCGGGTGGCGATTCCCAACTGAATGGATTAAACCCCCCTAAAATTTCGCCCGTGTGTTTAACCCTCAAAATTGTTAATGTTTGGCCTTTATTATCACATTTTTGATGGAAGATTTCTGGAGTGAATCCATCTCGACTTCCACGAGTGAGTAGCTGAAATACATGGGGAAAGTTATCAATTTTGTAGCTCTTTTTTTCTGGATGAAGAATTCTAGAAAAAAAACCTCCTGGATTTTGATCGATCCAGATTGAAATAATTGCAAAAAGGTCCAATTTGATCAGTACTGATTCAAATGGTGGTGAGGTTGACACGAGTGTTCTGCCATTCGGTGAATTGGTTCCATCAAGATGTTCTACGTTGTTTGGCACGCCTCTATTTGATAATGTATTTGCAAGAGTGCTTGACAAACGAGTTTCAGCGTCAAAAGCCCCATTTCTACTTGATAAACTATTCTCGGCGGAGCTTACTACAGGTGTATAAAAAGTTGCATCGACACTTGATGCTAAACTATTCTCGTCAGGGCTTATCAAATTGGTCTTAGAATTGATTGAACCTAATGACGTAGGGGTTTTTGCTTCGATAGACATACTTGATAAGCTATTTCTAGAAGGGGTTAATGAAGGTGTATCTTCGGTCGGAGCAGGAGAAACCGAGTCAGCGGATATATTACCACTTGACAATCCATTATTATCATAAGGATTTATTAAAGGAAGATGTTCTGAAATCTCCTCTGACATCATCCTACTTAGAGCCTCAAAGACGTCTTGGACAGTTGGACGTTTGTCTGGATCGTTATCCCAGCAACGTTGGTACAGTTGAACATATGCTTCTGGTGTACCTTCCACAGGAACCTCCCTCATTCCTCCAAAGATTTCGAATGTCATTTCATCTCTGCCCTTATCATGGAATGGTGGTTTTCCACTTGATATCTCCCAAAGAATAACGCCTAGGCTATACACATCGGATTTCTCGTCACGCTCATAATTGAGATTGGCGAGGTATAATGGATCTATATAAGCAGGTATTTTGTAACCGGCGGCAATTGTAGAAACCGGAGGTCCATTCGTCCATTTTGATATAGCAAAATCGGCAATCAACATTGACCCTTTATGAACCAATACATTCTTTGGATGCTAAGAAAGAGAATAAACAAATGAATAAATCAAATATAAAATATGGATATCTAAAATAAGTTATTATGTTAAAGGCGCGATTCTTACAAGATCTCTATGGATAATTTTATCCTTATTTGAATGCAAGTATATGAGGCCCAGTGTGATCTCCTTTGCGATACGTATTTTATCATTCCAGGTAAGTTTTTCGAAATTATTGTCTAAGAATTCCCGTAAGTTACCACCGTCCGCGAATTGAAGAATTAAAAAGTAACGTGGGGGACTATTGGTAAGAATTTCTTTCGCAACTCCATAAAATTGGTTAATATTAGGATGATACTGCAACCTGATTCTGCATAAAGTTTGAAGCTAAAATATGCACAAAAGTTAATAAAAAAAAGCTTAGTTTTTTAAGCAATAAAAAGTTGATATTTACAAACCTCTTTCGCAAATTCTTTAACACACTTTGTGCTCGATAAACCCTTTAACGCTACCCTTAACCCACGAGTTTTCCAGTAAGCCTTCCCTACTGTATGTAATTCGTCGTTCCCAATATTCATCAAAACAGTGAATTCGTTATAATCAAAAAGACTAATTTCATATTCTTCGATAATATTTTCAATTAAATCCATGATTATACGAGAGATGAAGGAAAAAAAGGTTTCGGCTAAAAAATCGAATGTTTCACTGTATTTAGCCCCATGACTGCGGTGTGTCATTTGTCTTTTGTTTACAAGATACTGTAATAATTCATCATTTACTTTGTTAAATTTCTCAATTCCAAATAGAGATCTTCTTTCCGTTTCGGTATATCATTAGAAATGGATAAACAAATGTGTTGTGATTCCTATCACATGAACACTTGAGACACAGTATACAGAGCATTCAATAGTTTAAACTATTTTGACGCATATAAATATTGACTTTGAAATTTCGCTATAGTATACTTTTTGCTTATCATTTAAGTGTAATATGTGCGTGCGTATATTCGAAATGCACCTACGATCCTTCGAGAATCGTCTGTTTATTTACTAGTTTAGTTTTTGAATATACAAAATATGAGGCAATGTTCTATATTTAACTGGTACATTAATGACTTTCTTGTTTGCTAAGCATCTACATTCATTGTCTAACCTAGAAGCTTTCGATTCATTTTTTTTCATTAAAAATACAGTATTTGAAAGGAATATCGTCATA